CCGTCCAAGTCGATGGTCTTCGCAGCTTGGATGAACGATTTTCGCCACGAATCAAATCCGTGGCTACGGCTTTTTCAGTCTAGAAGCGGGGCATTGACCGTCACTCGTTTCTGGTGGCTGCTGCTGTAGCCGTCGAGGTGTTCTCCATTTCCTCGAATCACGGGTATCTCACCTGGGGGGTTTAAAACCCTCGCTTCCCCGTAGTCCGGTCCTATGCCCGGGCCCACTTCGGCTGGTCCAACACGACTCGCTCCCGATCTGCTGGCCCAGCCGCCTTCCAGCAACTGCCGTGGTCCCTGCCCACCATCTCTCGCTTGCTGCTGGAGAGATCCCCCGCCACCGTCGAGCGGCTGCATGGGCTCTTCTTGTTGGCCTCCGGGGGCGGCAACCCAGCCGCCCCTACTGGCTGCATCCGCCACGACGCTGCCAGACTCCTTCGTCTTCACCGACTCCTCCACCAGGGCCGCCAATTGCGAAATCTGCAGTTGCAAACTTGCAAGCTCCGCATCGCGGCCCTCCTGCACCGGCCGGCGGATCTGTTCTCCGCTCGAAGCGGTGCGCTCTTCGTCTCCAGCAGAGCTCATCCCAACGTGGCTTCCCTCGAGGGGCAAAAAACTCTGGAGTGTTTGCGGCCTACGCCACTTATTTATCGGGTGAGACTGTTTTGATGATTTATTAACTTCACGAGAGGTAGACGACCGTCTTTCACACGGACGAAAGAGGGAGTGCTCAAAGAGCGGCTCCCACAGCAAGGAGGGCCCCCGTGAATCATCGCAGTGCCCCGTACAACAAGGCAACCTTACCAGTCTGCGTGACACCAAATCACCCAGCACATGTGTCCAACACCAATGTTCGCAGACCCACGAACATTGCCATTTCCTCCTCCGTCTTGCTCTCTTCGGCTGCAGTCGCGCCTTCTATTTTTCGACGTTTCCCCCCCCCTTGTCCCCCCCCCCTGCTCGGCCGTGCACTAACAAAGTACTTTCTGATCGGTGATTTGTGGTGCATCGTAAGCTCGAGCTTGGGTATTCAAGGAGTAGTCTAGTCTGTTTACTTTCCTTCTCGTTCAGGGATGGATGCAAGCAAGACCGGTATCGGAGGAGGGGTGCAGACAGGCTCTCCTAAATAGATATACTATGCAGTCACATACAGAAACATGCATGCATGTCCTATCTTCAGTGCAGCCAAATTGCTGTCTACGTGTTGATTTGGCCTTTGTGGGGAGTTCTGTGCCTGTGACCACGGAAGGAGTCCGCGCAGTAAAGTAGGTTGGACCGGTAGATGGGAAGTGAGCAGAGACCAGAGATTGTTGTGTGTTGTGAAGACGCCGACCGCAACAACAACAGAGAGAGATAGAGAGAGCTGCCTGCGTTATTTATTGTACAGGCAAGGCAACAAGTTCTCCTCTTCTTGGTAGGGCTCTCTGCCTATTGGCTCACTACTATTACTATGAAGGAGACCGACCATGTCGTCCGTGTAGGTGCGATCTAGTATGTAGGTGAGATACGTAGTAGAATCTGATGATGATCCGTGAGTTGGGAGTGCTGGCTGATCAGCAATAGTCTGCATGTTGGCTAAAAAACAAAGTTTGTCCAGAGTTTGTCTCGAAAACATGGGGGGGGGTATCTAAAAGCTGCGCAACAAAGAAAGGCCGGCGGCTGGGGCAAAGAAGCGAGCGTCAAAAACAATTTGGTGTGAATACCGCATGCACGTGTAGACTAGTAGTATCTCCTCGCCACCACCACTCAATCAACTCGGAAAACACGCGGAGTGCTTACCCCCGCAAGACAACATGCATACATTCCTGTTTTTGCCCCGCTGCCACCACAGCACACACACGTTTGGAAAGGATCTTGCGATGATGGTCTGTATCACCGCGAAAACGCCCGGCCGCCGGGCGTTTTTACCACCGCCGCGGTGGTGGTGGTCCACAAATAAATTGAATCAAGCAAGGGTGTACGCACAACAAAATGAAACCGGTCAGCGACCTACAAGTTGTTGTTGTTGTTGTTGACTTCACATTAAACCGTATGCCAGTTGCTAAATAAATGCCAAAATCTAGCAAAGACTCTCGGCCCGTGGTCACGAAGAAGATCGTTAAATCAGCGATGATGATGATGATTTTTTTTTTTGTCTCCCATCATTGGACTTTCTTTGTCGTCTGCACCTCTGGCCCCCATCCTCCACTTCTACTAGCTAGACGACCCAACCGGCGTCACACAGTAACAGGAGGGGGGGGTTGGACCCCCTCCTGCGGTTCCTGCCTTGAGATATTTTTATCGCGAGAAGGGTACAACAGCAATCAATCCCTTCCCTCGCGACTTACGAAGTCGATCGTGGTTTGCTAACAACGAGCTTTGCAGCGCGTCGCTTCCAACGGAGACCAGGATTTCATTAGTGGAAAAAAACTCACTCTGTCGGGACTCGAACCCATGACCTGGTCCTTAGCAGGTTGCGAGGGTACCCACTAAACCACCAGGGCGATTGATTAGACTAGTCTAGATTAGTATCTGTTTTTCTTTTTGTCTCCTATTATTGAACTCTGTCGTCTGCCCCTCTGGCCCCTATCCTCCACTTCTACCGGCTAGACGACCCAACCGGGGTCACATAGGAGGGGGGGGGTTGGACACACTTCTGCGGTTCCTGCCTGAGATATCATTATCGCGAGATTTGCAGCGCGTCGCTTCCAACGGAGACCATGATGATCTGTATCACCGCGAAAACGCACGGCGGCGGTGGTCCACAAATCAAGGGTGTAAGCACAAAAGTGAACCCGGTCAGCGACCTACACGATCGTTAACCAATGCCCACCATGTGCGAACCAATCATATAGGCCATTGTGGCCCTATCTCACTATTCCATGTGCCGATCTGTACGACGGGCAATCTGCCAGCTGCCCTGGCTGCTGCCGGGCCGGACCAAAGACTATGACATATAACAACCAATGTATTATATGTCATAGTCTTTGGGCCGGATCGATACATCATGCATGGGGGCCCACTCTGCGTACAGTGGAGATTCACGGAGCCCCCAAATTTGTTTTTTCTGCCCAAGAGGTGGAGGAAGTGACATTTTACGAGTCACACAAAGAGGGAGAGAGAGGGAGAGAGAGGGAGAGCTGCGTCGTCAACATGTGGGACCCGCTCTCGGGCCCAGACTACGCTCTTCTCGCGTTGGTGGGCCTCCACCAGGCAAGTGTGCATGCCTGCTTCTTTTCGTCTCCAGAGAGGGAGGGGGGTACCAGAGAGGACCCGCAAAAAGTAAACGCCGAACGAGCCGCAGCTTACAACCGGCAGCAGCAGCAAAAGACGGGCCGTGCATGCAGCTGCTGCGCCTTTTTTTTGCTTCCAGGCCCCTCAGCATGACGGTGGCGGTATAGATGAGCGGTCAGGAATCTGGCGGGCGCCGCAGCCCTTGTCGGCTGCTGCCGCTGTCGCCCCATGTGGATGATATGTAATGTTTTGCTCGCTCCATTCTCCTTTTGAAAAAGTCAAATAGCTTGCTTTCGGATTTGGTTGCATGTTGTGTGAGTTTTTTGGGGGCCGGTGTGTGTCGGCTGCTGTCCCCCTGTACATACTTTCCAATACACCATCTAGGGCAGGCTAGCTAGCGGGGCGTCTTCAAGCACGGTTGATTTTACGCGTGGTTACTGTAGCAATGCATACCTCTTCTTAGTGCCCACCGCCGTCCGTGCCGGATTGTTTTCTCCATGTATCTATCGCAACACAAATGCAGCAGCGGCATTTCACCGGGATGAAATTGCTTTGCCGTGTGGACACGCCGATGGCGGTCTGCGAACCTCCTCTGGGACAACCAGACAGAGGGGGATCGAGCCCGCCGTCAAAACCCGCCGCCCTGCTACATAAAGAGGTTGCAATCTTTTCCCCCCGACTCTCATCGTACAAGTTGCTGAAGTCACCGCTGCAACCCTTCACCCACAATAGCAGCAGCAGTGCCACCAGCAAAGATTATGCAAGTTTCCGACAAGCAGTACCACTCTGATTATTTTGGTCGTTGTTTGGCAACTTTAGTTCACTGCCTGTGGGATGAGTCACTCTTGGAGGGGGGTGCGGAAGTGCGGAAACATTTTTCATGTCGCGCAGCAGCTTGGGCGAAAGAAGTGGCCGCACTACTCGCACAAGCATCCTGTTATCGTAGCAGAATCCATGATAAACCGACTCTGCGCCACGTCTTCCGTGTGGCGATAGCAAAGCCAAAGGCCCTTTCTTTTTGGCGTGTCTCACGGACACACTCACAATATCCCTGTTTTTTAGTTTAGTTTGATTTGAAAATCGGCTTTTTTTGGTTGACCCACACACACACGTTATGTGACCGGCTATTTTTTCCGGTTTGAATTACTTGCCAGCTTTTTTCCCCCCAGAGGCAGCAGGCAGGCAGCGGAGAGAGGGACGATTTCTTGCTGTCCATCACCCCGTTCTCCCAGAAACACCTACCAGAGAGCGCAGCTTGGTGTGTTGCGTCTGTTTGTAGCTCTAGCAACCATCACGGCAAGCATTGGCAGTAGCCCTTCATCACTTGTTGCAACGGGGGGGGCGATCAATCGATCCTGTGTTACGTTATTCCCGATTGTAGAGATACATTCACGAAAAGTTTCTTGTTCGTTCGCCAGAAGAAGTTTTTTTTTTGCGAATAGTCTAGAACGTTGGGCGGTATCTGTTGTCGTTGAGTGTGATTCCGCTGGTTTCCGCCACATCGTTGTGGTCGTGGAGGATCCACCCCACCCGCTTCTTCTGTAAAAGAGCGGGTTTGGTTGGGAGACGGATGCCTTGGATGGATTCAGACCGAATGCATGCTAGCGTGCATGCACTACTGCTGTATTATTTGTGGCTACAACATGTATAGCAGAAGTAGAAGTAGTAGCCAGTCGCTCGGCGTGTGCTTTCCCTTGGGCCTAGGTTTGTTCTGTATGCCATCCACCTGAAAGTATGGATCTCTCAAACGTGCTGCATGATCCATTTATGGTATCATGTTTGCTGATTTGCTGCGTCCTGATTTTTGGATGCTGATCTGTCTCTCTCTCCCAAGCGCCTGCGTCTATTTTTCAAGTGATTGCGACTGGAGGAATCAACCGGCGGCGGTTTCGGTTGGTTGGTCCATGCCAACCACACCGCATGACCGCATGTCCAATGCATACTGCAGCTGTTTGTTTCGGTAGCATTACCTATACATGTAGTACGTATCCGTGTGCAACTGCTGTCATGGGGAGGAAGAACCTCGATCTGCACATCTGCACTGGCTGTGCATTGCGATATCTTTGTTCTCTTCCCGGCGTGTTGTATATCTGTGGGTGATTTCTATTGACTTGCGGACCCCTCGGGGCCATTTTATTTGAGTGTACCTTTTTAGGGTAAGTTAGCCTGCGACCACGGGAATCGACCGCGTCGAGTGTTGTATCAGTACGGACATAGGAAGGTACTGGGTAGAGAGAGATCAGAACGGTTTTCGATGTGAAGACAACAACAATCAACAACAACAACAACAACAAGACCTGCCATGTTCTTGTATGTGCATCAACTGATACGTCGTCACCTGCATAGCTCTTTCCTTGTGGGGCAGCGTGCGAGACAAAAATGACCAGAAAACATTACAGATGGCGCCCGTCCTTAAGAATTTCTCAATAGTTTCGGCCAAGGCTGGGGTTCTTGTTGTGATGATCATCCTCTTGTGGGCTACAAATAGCCGCTATAAAGGTTTTAGTGTGGGGTTTCTAGCCGAGCTCACAAATGGTGCTCGAGTTCTTAGCTTCTGATTTTTTGCGAGTCTCGATTTCTTAATTGCTAAGTTCTTTAAGTGCGGGCGCTATCTATAGCATCATACGGAGAGCAGCAGTATCCATGCTGCGTCGCAAGATTGGCGGCTGCACGCTGTCACCGCTGTTACATACAATACGTGTATTGTACCACAGTGGAGGTCCCTGTTTAGTGCCGGTTGCCGTTGAAGTGCCGGTGTTTTCGGCTCGCACACACTGGAATACCAAGTCGTTCTGTCCTTCGAATAGTGCCGGTGTCCGGTTTAGTGCCGGTGAAATTTCGGCGCACACCTCGGCACTAAATAGGGGCCTCTACTGCATACCTTTTGTGCAAATGCCGCTGTTTTTCCCAACCTTCGTTAGTTTAGCCTACAGCAGTGTGCGTTCAAGTATGCATTTGCAAAGTTTGCACAACTGCTGTGTTGATCCTGAACGCACTCGCGCAAGAGTTGCGCTTTTTTAGAGGTTTTGGGAGAATTTGGATAGCATGTGTTCTGTAGCGTGTGTGGCGACCGTGCGTCGTACTGGTACGCGTAAGTTTTAACTTTGAGTGTGGAAATTTGCCTACATTCTGCGCGTCACCCTTAAGGTACGTACGTCCACAACAGTATTAATAGTAAGAATATAAATCATCACACGCAGCTTCTTTGTTTGGGCGTCTACAACTCTGTGTGACATTTTTCGTATTTTCTGTTAATGCATAGAAAAATGAATGCGTCGTTACTATCTTATCTTTGCATTCTTCGCGTGCGTGCATATATATGCATACCATGTGTGTTGAGTCCTCGCCTCTGAATTTGTGATTATCGGGGTCTCTCGTCCTTAAGAGTACATTGATTGGACGACGCAACAGCTTGGGTCAAGCCTTAGAGGAAAGGAAAACGCTGGAGTTTTTCGTTCTCTTTCCCCGCTTTTCTGTCCCTGCAGTGTGTGTCTTCATTTTGTCAAGCGGGAAGGGTTCAACAATCCCTAACCTTTTGTTTTGTCGAAGATTATGGGCTTTCCACGCCTACAGTAGCCTTACTTTGGAGAGGCCGAATGGGGTAGCACCTGCGTTACAGCCCGTGGAAAAAAAGGGCCTTGTTTTGTTTTTATTCCTGGCAACAGACACGATAGCACGGTGCCCCCCATACTCTTTTTTGTATGGGGTTTGAGGTTGTTTTGGAACAGCTCTAGCTGTGGTGCCGATCCAAAATTCTAGATCACGGCATCGCAATCTGTGGTGCCCAAACTACACTGGCCCCGTACGCCAGTAATTTTCATGTACTTTCTGGACCGCGACGGCGTTGCAAGTCTGGCCAGAGGCTTGGTGACGACGTCAAAATGGAGACACGGCCGTTTTTGTTTCCACGCTCTAATTGCGCCGCTGCCCACTACTCGTGTTTAGAGGCAGTTCGGTGTCGATTCTAGGTGACCTTTGCAAACCCATGGAGGGCGAAATGATGCTGATCCAAAAATCTAGAATTCTGCATTGAGTTATGTGGCTATCTTTCTGCCGTGGGGCGAAGTCACGAAGGACGTGGTCTCGTTTTCGGACCGCGACGGACTGCGGAAGTTGGACACCAAGAGAGCTGAACAGGACTTTCCAACAGCAACCGATTGGCATGATAAGCAAATCTCGAGCTGAAAGCAAAATTACGGCGTGAAAACTGCTTGCGGACGTAGGATGGAACTAGGTTGGACTGTTATGCCAGTTTCATCGAGATCCGGGGTCTATGCTAGTAGTACCAGTGGTGGCTAACAGGGTGACCTGGGGTGGGCTGAGCAGCAATGCTTCAGAGGGGTTCCGGAAAATTGTGGAGGTACCCAGTACAGAGTATAATTTTGTCAGTATATGTTTTTCATTTTCCATGGGCTGCAACGCAGGTGGTAGCCAGGTTGTTGTTGTTGTTGTTGTTGTTGTTGTCTTCACATTAAAAACCATCCCGGTCTCTCTATCCAGTACCTCCTTCTGTCTCAATCTCTCCGTACTAATCCATCACTTGACTCGGCCAATTTCCGTGGTCACAGGCTAACGTACCTAGAAAAGGTATACCAAAATAAAATGGACCCCAAGGGTCAGCAGAGCGAT